TACGATACTGGTGTGGGATTTCCTTGAGCCAAACACCGAAGCTCTTTCTCTGGAAGGAGCACGTGAACAAATTGCAACAGCTGCAGGGCTGGAAAACGGTGAGAATCACCAGCCGGTTGGGCCTAATGATCAGCAAGATCAGCGTGCTCCTACAGGCGGTACTTTCTTTTTTTTTATGAATTCTTATATGAATTTATAATTTATACATATATATATATGTATAAATTGTACGTGTGTATATGTGAATATATATGTGAATTTTTATGAAAAATTCGCAAATTTGACTTGCATTTTTCCTTTTGATTTTCGAAAATTTCATTGCATATTTGCTTTTTTTTTAGACAGATCGTTCCCTTTTCTCAGGCCAATATCACAATTAAACAATCAAAAATCATCCTAGTGTTTACACGTCTATTCTAAACAACGAAAGCGAAGAGGGTGAAGATTTTTATGCTGAGCTCGAATCTAAATTAATCGTTAACTATGTATAGTTGTAATCAGGAGAATTTCAGCGATTAAAACCAGGGCAGGAAAGAAAAAATGGGGGGAATTGGCAGTTTCTTCTTTTTTGCCATCGATGCTAGCTGCTGACAAATTTATTTATTCAGCTCGGTTTTGAGCGCGTAATATTCACAAAATTTACATAAAAGTATGGTTTTTGTGAGATGTGAATGATGCAACTGCGGAATTGTGAATTATTTTCCAAACATTTTGTGCACAAGTTCCAGACATTTTGTGCATGATTCCCACCCTCTAACCACACACCTTATACTTTCTGTGTTTGCAGCTTGGGGATGAAACACAGGCAGACATACTTCTAAATATTCCTTCTTACATTACTCTTTTACATCTCAGAAGGTTAGAACCGCATTAACAGGCCCACTATCTTTCCCATCTTATTCCATTAAGCAATTCCACCCTCCTACATTACGATTTATGGCTTCGACCAGTCGGTATTTTCCACGGCTCGGACTCGCCATTGCTTCAGGATGTTTGGTTCGGCCTATCAACGGCCAAAAAATTCTTGTCAGTTTAACCCAGTTCGGCCGCCTCGCTTGGGCCGTCTATTTTTCATTCGGCCATCTAATGGCCCTCGCATTTCAGCAAATTGCTTTATGTTATTTTCGTATAATTTGCACTGTT